CCTCCTTGACACGGGCAGCCCCTCTCCCACCGCCTGCAGCGGGACAGGCCCACAGCCAGCACGGCTGGACTTGTGCTGCCGTTAGCATCCCTCACACCCCCGGGCTGATGCCAGCACAGGACTGGTGCCACCAAGCCCATCAGTACACCCATGGGACAAACATGTGGCCCTGAACCCTCCCCCAAGCCTGTGCACATGTGGACTGAGGGCAAGCGTTTTGCACGAAGGATCAAACCCACACAAAAACACCCAGCACTGCAGGGAGGCCAAGTACATCCCTGATATCCCCGCTTTCTAGGTGAATGCAGCCAGGAAAGCCGAATGAGGCTCAGGGGAAGGAAAACCCACAACCTGACCTCGCATGCAGAGCTGCAGCAAGCCCAGCTCACAAGCGTGGCAGCAGGGAGGTGCCGGAGGCTGCTGGGCTCACGCGACCTCAGAGCTCCTCGCCTCCTCTCCCACTGTATCTCCCAGCATCGGCGGGATGGTGCCCAGGCAAATGCTCAGTGGCCCCAGTGTGCAGAAGTTAACCCCATCCCTGTCTTTTTTTCTGGGCCCTGGCTACACTGCACTCTGATCTCTTCTGTTTTCCTGGTGCAACAGGGACTTTCAAGCAGCTGAATGAGATGCAGCTGCTTGAACAGCCTCAGCTCAATCTTTTTGTTTGAGGAACACGCTCGTTAGTTCCAGTTCATGTTGCACATCAGTATGGCACCAGCAGAACAACAAGACCTCCTGGCTGCTCTGGATGTTTTTCTTTCCCTCCCCCTTTATTTAGCCAAACAAGATGGAAGAATCAACAAGGCTGGCTGGAGCTGCCCCAGGCATGGCACCATATTTACCCAACAGGATCTCCAGGCATGACAGGAGGTCTGCAACCTGGGATAAACACCCTTTCTTGCAGATGGCAGGGCATGCCTGGAGCTGTTTGCATCACCTCCCCCTCACTCTGCCCAACCCAACCCAATTATTTTGGAGTCCCAGCGCCACGCCACGGGGAGAGAGCGAGCAGGGCTCTACCTTTCCCCTACTCGGCCAGCTGCCAGAGAGCACAGGCTCTGTCTAAAGACATGATCCTCTTTCTGCAAGCGATTAAACCTTTCACTCTCCAGGCTGCTTCAAGCCTTCAACTTTCACATGCTTGGCCCCATGCCATCTCTGGCCTGAAAAAACTTGTGTTCACTGGATGCAAATAAAAGGGTCTTTCTGAAAGGGCTGCTGGTGGAGTTCATCGCTGTTCCCCGGGGCCGTGCCGGCACTGCAGCTCTGCCTGACAATAGGCAGAGAGCTGCCGGCACAAGCCTTCCCAATGCTTGCCTGCTCTAAAAGCAGCCACAAGCCTCCCCAGGCGGAGGGCATGGGGCTGGCCCGCCAGATATTGTATGCTTTAAGATTTGCCAGAAAACTCACTCGACTTGCTAATGAGAGGAAGCCAATTTGTTTTCTGTCAGTGATATCAACATCAGGGATTAGGCAAGAGAAAGGGGAGCTCACGGCCCGGCTGGGTGGGAGGGAGTCAGGATGCCCAGGGTGCTGGGGATGCTCAGGGTCTCCCCACTGGGGACAGTGCAGCACGAGAAGGTGCTGAGCTCTCACACCCCCCTCCTTGCAGCATCCCCAGGGGCTGCGGGCCCTCGCTGCCTCCCACCGTGCTTCACAAGGGTTGCTGCACCCAGCACCCATCAGACAGTACAGAGCCAACAGCACAGCCTACATCTGCCACCAGTAAGTAGCAAAGACCTGAACCCATCTCCCTGTACCCCACTTTCAGCATAACCTGAGCGCGGAGCAGGGTGGTTGGACTAGATGATCTTTAAAGGTCCCTTCCAACCCAAAGGATTCTAGGACACACTACTGAGGGCAAGTCACAAAGCAGAGCTGGGAAAAAACAGGGGGGAAAGAGGTTTTGAGACAGTTTTCTGGCTCACTAGCGCTGCTCTGACCGAGGGAGACCTCACGTAGCCCCGCTGTAGGCTGGCCAGCCCCACCGAGCCAAGCACCAGGAGGAGTTTGGAGCCCCGCGTCCCATCTCTCTCCTTGTCCGCATCGATTCTGCAGCTCTTTGTTCTGCCCACCCAGCTTTCAGGCACACCAGTGACAGCTCCAGGCTCCACATACAGATTACCATGTTTTCCCATAGCTATCCCTGCCTTCAAGCCCTGGGCAGGATTTCCCCATGCATCCTCACACTGGACAACCCCAGACAGCTGTGCAGACGGAGCCAGCACCATGATTTAGCTGACATAACATGAGCGCAGCTGCTCCCAGCCAAACCCTGCAGAGACACCAGTTCCTGTCCGGGAAGGAGGCTGCAGGACGCAGCGCAGCTGGGGACACCCGCTCTGCTGCCCTTCCCTCTGCAGGAGCTCCTCCAGCCCCCTTGCCGGCAGAGAGGATGCTCCAGGCAGAGCCAGGAGCTCCGGATGCAGCATCCACTCACCTGCTCTGGTACACGTTTCCCAGGGCTGTGAGTATCTGGCGCCTTCACTGCCTGACCATTTGCTGCAGCTCAGCACCTTCTGCTATGGACAGTGTGAGCTGAGGCACTTGTCTTTCATATATGAGCCCTAAATATGAGCCAAGGGAGACAGATGCACAAGGATCTAGCAGACCCTGCCTGGTGAAGTGAGAGCAGGTGAACAAGAGTTAACTCCAGGGAGCAGAGATCCTCCTTTCCTGCCTGCATTTACCCCCCTACCTGCCAATCCTCTTTGACAAATACCTGCTAGCAGCATTTCTTCACTCCCCACTGCATTCTTAATATCAGGCAGAAAAATTCCTCTTAAATCCTTAAATTCCTGCTGGATTAATACTGATCCAGAAGGCTAGGATCCTGCCCGTGCTCCAGATCCCCCCAGTCTGGCCAAACTCCCAAGCTCTGGTTTTGTGAGCAAATCTCACATCCTGACTCAGGACAACTGAACGTTTTATTTCCAAATGGTTGCAACTGCTGCAGGTTTGCTCTGGCACGGAGCAGCACAGGCAGATACTCACTCTGCGTCAGGACTGGCTCCCCACTAGCGTTCTGGCTCTGGTTGGTGAGGCTGAGGCTCTTCTTCAGGTTTATCTTCCACTTCGGAGACTGCGTTTTGTTGTCCTTCAGGTGTAAGGGGATCAGTAGATTGACCTAAAAAAAGGCACAAGTCAGAACGATTTTATCTCAGCTCATTTTCAATGTTGGTACTCAGGGGAGCTGATCAGCCAAGGCATCAGCGTCTCCCCCATGACCAGAGCTGGGGCTGAACCTGCCCAGAAACCTCGAGGAATAGGAGATACTCGAGGCTGGCAAAGCCAGAAATGATTGTGGTTTTTCATACCCATGCTAACGAGTTTATTCTGTAGATAAACTCAAAGGAAGAGCCCAGAGAGGCTCTGTTCCCACACACCAATTCCTCCTGTTGCTCTGTGCAAATACTCAGGAAGCATGCAGTTTGCTACCCTTGCACCAACACTGCAGCACAAGGACCAGGGCCATGGCCTTTATAGGGTCCCCAAAGCCAGGGAGCAGTGGCACAGCCAGTTCTCCTGTCACCAGAGCACTGTGCCAACTGGGCTGCCAGGGTGGTTCATGCTAGGGTCCCTGCAGCATGCAGGGCCAGGCCGTGGTCCCCCAGCCACAGAGTGGGATGGGAGCTCACCTTGCTCTGCAGGCTTTTAATCTGCAGATTCTGCTTGTCCAGCTTGTACTGCTGCTGCTTGATCTTCTGCAAGAGCTCCTCGATTCGCAAGTTCTGCACATCCATCAGGGACTGTGGGGGGAAGAGCCAGGTGAACCCCGCAGCTCCAGGGAGATCCAGCCATGCTGCACGTACTGCATGGAGCCAGGTGGGCCAGTCCCCCGGCGGGGCTGGTCCCCACGGATGCTCCCAGTGCCCTTCAGCAGGTCCCCATGGGGGCTCCCGGTGTCCGCAGGACCATCAGGTGTCCCCCCACACTCTCCTGAGGCCGATCCCCACCCACTGCTCCCAGTGCCCCGGGAGGGGCGGGTCCCCCCCACCCCTCCGGGCTGCCC